GATGTAATAATTAATTAATAAAATTTTATATTTATCATTAATTAATCACTACTTAAATAGGTCTTTTTATTTAATATATGTTGTAATTATCTTTTTGAAAAAAATGGTAAAGTATGAATAGACACATCAAATAATGCCCTAAACATAAACTGCAATGTTATATTTACAATGAGACATAGAATTGTAACTTACAATTCTACATGGCATTAAATTAATATAACATGATATTAAACAAGTGAATGCATATAATATCACAGATAAACCCTTGAATGAAAAAAGTTAATTATATAATCACATATTACATTGTAAGTTTACAATGCTACATGGTATTATAACTATAACATTTTCAAAATATGAAAATTAGAAAGTAAATCTAAGTCTAAAAGTTGAATAAAGGGAGTATATTTTATAATTACAAATATTTTGATGATGCAATATAGGCAATTGGTTTATGCTTTTAAATGGATAAAGAGGGCAAAAGATCTATTCCACATGTAAACATATCTATAACATTTTGATCAAATTAAAGTAGGAGTCAAAATTTTAAAACTTAGTTAAGAGGTTAGGAATATCTATTCCTACAAGTAATTATTTTCTACTAAGTTAGTGGGTGATTAAGGAATAAGTATTACCAACCCTCCGCATATGTTATGTTTGGTTGGAAGTAGTAATTATTCTTCAATTAAATTTTAAAATAAGATAAATTTGAATTTTTTTTATAAAAAAGTTAGGAATAATTAAGTTTCAATGTTGATAAATTTTTACTAAACTATAAGGGATAAATAACAATATTTATTCTTTTTATTTTTTAAGGAATATGTATTTCTTAATTCTTTGTTAATGTGAAAAGAAATTAAATACTAAGACTTAGTTATTCTTCGCATCCTATTGAAGTTTATCAATTTTAATTTGTTTTTATAGTTGATAAAAAATTAACTATTATCACAACCATGTGATTCAATTTTAGGATTTTTTTTTTATAATAATGAATCTGAAATTAATTATGTAATATTTAATATCATAATCACATGATCTGATTGTAGAGTTATCTATTCTCTTAACCATGTGTTTAAAATTCAATCCCTGATATTGACATGCCCAAAAGAACCTATGTAGTATATGATATAACTAGAATTTAGGGAAAATTATATTATTTAAGATTATTATGTTTTGATTTAATTAGTTTCATATTAGTTTAATATTTGATATGATCTTTAAGAGGACTAATAGGAGTCGTATTTGGTTTTAGAATCTGTGTTATTTTATATAAGAGTTAAGCCAATTATAATGCATGGATATTATCGCTTCAAATTAAACAGCTAATTGCTTCTTTTTCCTTTCTCATCCTTGATTCTCTATTTCTCGCAGTTTTTTTTTTTTTTTCTGGGCATTAAAACATACCTACTATATTAACCAGAAATATAATGTAGCTTACAGACCATCAAAACACAAAACATGAGCAAAAACAGTAACACAGAAACATAACACTTGAAATAACACTACAAAGGAGAGCTGCTAAGCTTGCAGATGAAGAAAAGCAAGGAAGGAATTACTCCTGTTAACAACAGGTCGCACATCCTCTGGTGGTTTAATGTAGAGTGGACTTAAGAAGCAGGCCTTCAAAGTCTTGGTGGGGTAGATGAAAGCAAGCATCATGAGCTTGGGATGAAAGGAAGGCAGAGTGAGGCTAAAGATCCTCTGGCAGTGCTTGGTCATTCAAGATTGCTCCTTTGAATTGGTGACAGAAGAACCTACTAAACAATCAACTTCTTCCACAGAATACCTCCTCCAAAGATACAAAGCAAGCCATACTATCATTCTACCTACCCAAACCAGAACCAAACTCATGCTAGCTGTTATCTCTTTTGCAAACAAAGTTTTTAACAAAAGAAAGAAATTAAAGCAAAAGCAGAACTGAAGAGATAATCTAGGATAACTTAGGCTTAAAGATTTCATGACCAAGGGCAGCCCCTTCCCAAAATCATAGTATCTGAATAGAATCATGGAACCCTTGTGGCCTTAGGGGGGCCACCTATAACACACCTCCCTAGGCACTCTTAGTCTTAGGAGAGTTCGGAAACAAAATTTATAGTAAAGAATTGCAGCGGAAGTAAAACACTTATGATATAAAATATTTTTTCAAAAGAAAGCCTACATTCAGGAAATCAATTTAATAAAAAGAATATCATATATATATTGGAAAATGCCAAAATATTCAAAGTTATAAAATAAGCCGAGTTAAGCTCATTTATAATTAATTTAAAGGTTTTATACAGAAAGCTAATTTACACAAAAATTATACGAGGCAAATTCTTCTTCAAAGCTTTTAAAAAAAAAACAAAAGCTGAGTCATGGTTTTGGTAAGACATCGATCTGCCTCTTTATCGAAAACACGAGGCCCTAGCTTGTACATACAACGAGCATGCGAGTCCTGTGCCAAAAGCTCCTAAACCGAGATGCTGCTACCTCGATCTACTGATTTGAAATGGGGGGGGGGAATTTTATGAGCTCACAGCCCAGTAAGCAATAAGTTTAGGCTATAAACTTGGGTTTTAAGACCTTTAGACCTATCCACACAAAGAGCATAA